CAGGTCAACAGTCCATTCTAAACCTGTCACATTTTTCTGAAGTTACAACTACAAGCCAATCAAGCTCCTTTCATGATCACCACCTGCATAGTTTTTTTTTAATTATTATCTTAGTTCAATCCTGATAAAGAGAAAATACCAGGATACAGAGTAGCAACACTACCTATTGGGCCTACCTGGGCCAACTATTTAAAAAACACTACCTATTGGGCCTACCTGGGCCAACTATTTAAAAAATTATCTGGCCACAGCACACACATGAGAAAGACCCTTAATGCATTTCTTTAATTAAAGAATTTCTTTCTTAAGCTGGAATGTTTTGCAAGGCATCCTAGCAATTTTCAATTCAAAATATGTATCTGTGTTTGCTATTGCTTGACAAGCTCAACCAAACTTTTCTTATCTTGACGAAAAATGATAACAAAGCCAGGTTTGAATACTAGGCAGAATTCTGTGGCTGGACTCATGCTTTCAATAAGTCATAAAGTGTTTTGCTGGGCTTTGGCTTAGCTTGCTGTAAAAGTTGTGATTTATAAAGACTATCTTATTGATTAGCATGTTGGGCAAACTCAGCCTGCTGCAGCCTATAAATCATGGTTACAAAGCCCATGATTTAGTTTTCTCAACAAGCAGCATTACCTGGCCAACTCTGTCTTAACTTCTTAATCAATCAGGGGAGGCCCAGTTAGTAAAAGAGAGACCAGCAGAAAATTCCAGACTGTGGGAAAATGGAAGCAGAAGTTGGAAGCCAATGCAATGGCAGATCGCTTCCATACCGTTGCTATGAAAATTGTAAAGGAGCTCAACCTGACCATCAATAAAGCCAGTTGTCATTAAACTCATTCATAATGCTGTCACATTTCACAAGTAACATAAAAACCCAGTCAAATTTCAAAGGATTTAAAAGCATCCTAATCAAAGTATCCTAATCAAAGTAACTTAATTTATTTCAGCCAGCATCAGCTTTATCTGCTGAGATGTATAACTTCAAGGAAAATTAATTAGTCTGCTCCTGCAGATGGGTTTTTTTAATAGAACTTGGAAAGACTACGCTAAAACACGTCAAATGTTCTTGAACACACTGTAAAAAGGTAGTGGGCTTATTAGAGGAAGGAGTAGGGTAGGAGGGAACAGATGGACGGGTAAAAAAAGTGGGGCACTCAGCACTTTCTCTAGACTACATTTTATTGCAATTAACTTGCTAAACTCAGTTTTGTTCCTCTTGTCACTTTTTGCCAATTGAATATGCAAAACAGATTTCACAGAAAATTCAAACATTCTGACTCCATCCAGGTTATTGAGAAACAGATTCTGCATCCTCTAAAATCTGTTTAGATTTAAATTCAGAAAAGCACAAATAAGGCTGCAGACTAACATGAGGCGAGTTTTTAAAGAGAGACAGAGCAAGAAAGAGAATCTATGTTTTAATTTTTTTAACCTGAACAGCCATTCACGGCTGATTTTGCCAGGCTCCCAGACCAGAAGACTACTTGCTAAATATTTGAGCTCCTGTCTTCCACAGAGATCAAGGTAAGATTAATTACTCAGGAAAGTGAAGATCAAGTATCACAGGAAACTGAGAGGCAAGTAAGTACCTGATTTATTCATGTGTACCTCAACAACAACAAAAAAGACATTTCAGAGCTGTGGCTGGTTCCAAAAATGAGAATTGTCTTGCTGGAATGGACATCCTACATCCAAACAAGTAGCCACCTATTTTGGCATCCAATACACAGCAATGTTTACCATCCACCTCAGGTAATATATACTGCCCCTGTCCATTGAGGCTCCACACTGCTGATGTGTCTATTAGCAATTAGGAGAAATTTAATGCACTGAGTCATATTCTGCCTGCTTTTAAAAAAGAAACATTAAAACTTCTATCCTATGCAAACTAGGATGGTTCATACCGATATATTTTCTAAAATAACTTCTTTTACTTTTCACCCAATTAAAAATCTTAATAAATAACACGTTTGTACATAAAAACAGATATAATGTGCTTCTAAAGGATTCTGGAAGTAAGTCATGCTTCAAGACATTATCAGATCAGATTTCATAAATAGTCAAGGCTGGGAAAGGCTTCAACAGAAGATGGAAAAAGGCAGAGAAAGAAAAGGATGTAAGCTCCTGCAGGTATTTCCCTCATCTTGCACCCCAAAATACAGCCGAATCAACTAATTTCACACAAATTCTTTATGAAAACTTGCATTCAGTGTGGTGAACATAAGCCACTGGAGAACCTAGAACTACTGTGTGCGAACCAAAAACTTTTCTCGCCATTCAATGCAATGCGATCAAGTCGGCCATTCTATGGCCATATGGCAATGTGGGAGCTGGTTTTGTGCAAGATGCTATTTTATTAGTTAGCTGTTAAACAGAAAAGTAGTCCACTTTGAAGCAATGCAGTGGTCCCCTCACGACCTTCACTTGCAAAAAGGACAACTGGCTTCACGTAGCCCAAAGGATAGTTGTCAGAAAAATTCCTGGGTGACAAAACTGTCTGTACAAGTATGTCCACATGTTTTCATAAAAAAAAACAACAAACAGGCCACCTCAGGTAGTTAAAAAGTATCTTTGATGATCGGCCTTTTAGGGAAGAGGTATCCCTAGACGGCCTTACCGCCTATTGGAACCACCTTGTGTGTGGACGGTCTCCTCACAGGCAGCCATTTTGTGAAAGCAGCCACATTGGACGCTCAGATTTTCAGCACCGTCCTTGGCTGAAAAGATAAGGCTTTAGGAAGCATGCATCTTCCATCCTGAAAGAACTTAGCTGATCATCCATTTCTCAGGCATTTCTAATAAAGAAAAGAAGGTTGATCAAGCCCAACTGCTGGTGACTTCCTGAATCCATCCATGTTTTCTTTCAAAAACATTGTGGACTTGTCCAGAGTCACAAGACTGATCTTAAGACTTGCATACAGACAGAGAAAAATAGTCTACAACTCTCTTCTTTCAGGATCTGTCAAATTCCCCACCTAAATGGATTTGATTTCCCTGGAGTTATCCCATCTAAGCATTAACCATATCTAACCCTGCTTAGTGTTTTCCTGACAGCAAGCAAAGTTGACCAGGAACCAAAGTTGACCCCACTGTGATATACTGACTAAGCTGTTTTGACTAGAACAGTTGACTAGAGTCAAGCTTAAATTCACCCTAAATTTTGGAAACCTGCTGGAAGGTTTGGTCAAGTCGTTGTCTCTCGGTCCAATCTATCCTGGAAGGTAGCAATATGTTACAAGACGTCCCAGAGAAAAGTTGGGGGGTGGGATTTAAGAAATACTATAAAGTGACAAGCTCATTTGCAAGGACCGCAATCTAACTTTTAGATATTTTGGTAATTCTGATATGAAATATAGTTCTGATTTAGTGAACCTCTAAGCAAATCTTGATGTATACAGGTTTAGAACAGTATGTACGTATATAATTGAAGTTCCCAATTTCCGCGTACAGTGGGTTTCTTTAACACAGGGATCTTAACTCTACAAACACAGCTGTGATCAGCATTTAAACTTAACTAATTAGTTTCAAACAGTTTCATTATCAGTAAAACCCTTCCTGGCCTGCCTTGCAAATCTGTTGTGTCAGCAGCTTCAGATTAAACAAAAAAAAAAAACTCATACAATTTGTGAGCTATTTTTAAAAAGGAAAACAGCAAACAAGTGCACAATCCTGTTCATGCCAAGGAAATCAAATTTGGGATGTCAAGAGAGTTCACACAGACCTGTTCTTGCAGTATCTCTGGCGTAACCCTAGCTTGTTTCCAAATTGCAGTGCAACCTAGTAGTGTGTAGGTCTGAAGAGTGAGCTCTGGGCAGGTCAGAAAGCTGGTTAACATACTCTGGCAATAAAGTACTCTACAGAATATACAATATCTATTTGCTATCCAAAGTAACTCCTCAGAATTAATTTCAAAGAGAAATGAGTGTCACAGAATGGAAAAACCACAGGAAATGTTTATATCACTGGAAATAGCTGTCAACATGGAAAAACATATGTAAAGGGCTTGAGGTTGGAGCAATTCCACACCTCATGTTGACTGAGGTTACAGCTTTTGCAGGAAAGAAAAATAAATGAGACAGTGATCTTTTGGAAAGATCAACAGATCCACTTCCACAAAGGTGCTGAACACCTGAGATAACTGCCTCTGCAAAATACATGACTGCACATTTTAGCAGATGCCCAGAATTGTCTTTCAGGCCATACTCATCAGGGTAAAAATGGAAAACGTTGAATTCTGAGATGGATGGGAAGAGTTTCATGAGCGAGGAAGTATAAAAGAGCCTCAGCTCTCCAATCCAAATACTCAACTGAGACACACAGAGCCCGAATGAGCAACTCCAGTTAAAAGCAAAAAAAAAATAGCAGATTACACTGTGATTCAGAGCCATTTTACTTAAAAGAAATTAATGGGGCGTGTGCACTTGGTCCGAGGCATGAATATGAATCTCTGAACATTTAAGGAAACTCACAGCACAATCCTGTACACCTTTTGCGCAATAGTGACTCTGTGTCCTTGCCACTTTTTAAAAAATAATAATAATTAGGTATCACAGGTGAAATCCCCAATTGGAGGAGATGGGCAGGCAGCCACCCCCAGTTCCATGCTGCAGCAAATAAACTGAAATAGTATGTCCAACTACTACCTACACACACACACACCCCCACAACAAACTTGCAATATTGCACCTGCTTTTTTTTTTCAGCTCACAATTGAACAACTGTACCGAGAGAATCAGGAGGAAAGGGGGGGGTGTCAAATAAATAATGAATTGCATCTCTAACAGGCCCACGAAGGATCTGCGATTTAGCTGGAGTTTTTTTTTTTAATTTAAAAAAAAAAGACAAAAAGGAAGCAAGGAAGGGCGGGAGATGGAGAACTGCCTGGAACATTTGCAAGGCATTAATCTGTCACTGCTACCCCAGCCACGTGTGCGAAAAGAGAAGGAAAGCAACCAGAGAGAGAGAGAGAGAGAGGCCAAAGCGCCTTCACTTACTTTTCGTACTCGGCGTTGTCCCTATCACACCGAGCATCCTTGTGCTTCTGCCAATCTTTGCCATGCTTGCAGGTAGTCAACAGGACAACATCTTCCCCATTATGGACATGATATAAGGCATTCCTGGTGTCTGATCCTATCCCAGTTAGGTACCTTTTCCCCTTGAACACCAACATATACTTCCTCAGAGGGGGGATGGTGTTAAACTTCAAGGAGCCTCTCTCTCCTCCTGTCCTTGGGTGATCTTTAGAAAAAAGAGGGATGGAGACGTCAAACTTGGGCCGGAAGTTTTCCGTACTGATGCTGGCTTTGGCCAACATGGCCTGGCCAATGTCGAAACCCACGTCCTCGGTGTAGTCAGGCCAGGTGCCGGAATATAAGTTAAAAACTAAATGATTCCTCCCGTTGTTCCACAAATGGAGGCTTTGCACTTTGGAGCGCAGGTTGTGCACGTACTGAGGGGAGAGCTGGTCTCGGTCTAAGGTGTCCAAGCCGAGGACGAAGAGGCAAGCTTGGCTGGGGTCCGAAGTATAAAAGCGGGAGCCTTCGATGGCGGCCAGGATGTTTTGGTAACTCTCGGCGATCTTCTCCCCTTTCTGTTGCGGGTAGACGTAGACCTTGAAGCCGTTTTTTTTGCAAAGGGCGAAGTCGAAGCAGGACTCCATGCGGCACTTCTTGCCCTTGTAGACGCCGGCGTTGGCGTCGCGCTTCTGGCGAGGGGAAGCGTGCCGGTTGTAATCCTCGCTCTCCAGCTGATCCCAAGGCAGGAAAGGGCGCAGGGCGTCCGGGAATCGGGGCCAGTAGCGTTCGGGGCGCTGCAAGCCATTCTTGCCGCTGTTAGTGCGCGCCTCTCGCCTGCTTTGGCTCCTGGATGCTCTGAACTGCAAGCCGCCGAAGTAGAAGAGAAGGACGACGAAAGTGCCAGCCGAGAGGAGGGTGAAGTAGCGTTTTTTGGCCTGCATGTGTCCTATCTGGGTCAAGGGGATCGTCGAGGATGAACACAAAGCTCGCCCAACTTTGCCAAGTGACACTTTCAGCTTGAGTCCGCCATTTTCCCGCCTGCCAAGACTTTAAACTCTCTTCTCCCACCTTCTCGGATTTCCTTTCCCAAAAGCTCGGGCTGATGCAGCGCATGTGGGCGATTTCGTTAACTTTCTCCCCTCTGGTCTTTCATCTTCGGGCTCGCCCTGGGAGGAAGGGCTGGTGGTTGGGGAAGCCGGGAAGGGAGGGAGATAGAAAAACGAAGAAGGACGGAGGGAGCGAGGCCGGGTGAAAGAGAGGGGCGAGTGGGGGGGGGGGGGGGTGGTTAAAAGAGGGAGGGAGAAAGAAGGGAGGGAGAAAAAAAAAAAAAGAAGGCGAGCGCAAGAAACCGGGGCAAAAAAAAAAGCCAAGCCCTCCCAGCGTGGCTTTCCCCCCCAAAAAAATAAAAGAAAAAAAAGAAAAAGAGGGAGGCTGGGAATTGGCTCTTGGCAATGCAAAGAGGAGGAAGAGAAGACAAAGACAGCGGGCGGCTCTCTGAACCTAAAAGAAAAGAAAAAAGAAGAGAGAGAGAGAGAGAGAGAGAAAGAGAGAGAAAAGCCGTCGAGTCCCGAGCTCCGGCTCTTCTCTCCAATCTGCGGGTGCCAGACCGAGAAATCCGTCCCGCCCTCTTCTCTCCCTCTCTCTCCTGCACACGCGTTACACACTCCACACACAAACACACGCACACAAGGGGAGGGGGGGTTGCACGGAGAGCCGAGCAGCAACTTCAACTCGGGCCAAACATCCCCTGGAAGAGCCCAAACACAAACAAACAACCCACCACAAACAAACCAGAGAGGAAGAAGCAAGGCAAGTCCAGCCAAAGCCAAAGCCCAAGCCGGCCGGTCGGTCAGTCCGCTTAATAAGCCCCGGGCGCCCGGCTTTTTTTTTTCCCCCAAGAGAGCGGCAAGCGAGAATCTGTTTGATGCAGGGCTTCCCTGGGGCTCGCTGAAGACACAGCAACCGGCGGGTTTACATCTTCCGGCCCCAGCACCGTAACCTTACGAATCCCTGCATTTCTCTCTCTCTCTCTTTCTCTTTCTCTCCTCTCTGTCTCTTTCTTTCTTTCTTTCTTTCGGTGCTTTCAGCACCGGCTGCAAAGCATGACCAAGCCTGGGCTTTTCCGCACGCTTTCCTGCGATCTCGCTGCCTGGATGGCTCCGGGGATGGAAGCGAATAAAAAGATCCTCCTCCTCCTCCTTCCTTCCTTCCTTCCTTCTTCGCCGCCGCGGCTGCCGCTCCTGCCACCGCCGCCGCCTCCTCCTCCTCCTCCTCCTCTTCTTCCACCGCCTCCTTTTAGCCCCCGCCCCTCTCAGCCATTCATTTCAGTTCAGCGGCGCGATCCACGCAAGCCCGGGAAACAGCCGAGGCCGGGGGTGGAGGCGGGGGGGGGGGGGGGGAGGAAGGGGGGGGGGGGGGAGAGAGAGAGGGGGAGGAGGTGGGGGGGGAGGAGGACGCCGCTTGCTCCTCTGGCGACGCTGCCCGATCGCGGCGGCGGCGGCGTTCGATCTCCGAACGTTGCCCCGGTTCCGAATGTTAACACTTGCAACATTCCATTCCCCGACACCACAAGCGCTGACCTCATCCATCCACGCAGCCCGCCGGCCGATTGGCTGGGCGTCACGTCCGGAGGGGGCGGTGCTTCCGCTGCACCCATTCATAACCCGCCGGGCCTGAGGAGGCGGAGTGGGGTTGAGGTGGGGGGCGGGGGAGGTGGGGGAGATAGCGAGAGAGAAAGGAAAAGACGGCTTTGCAGTGTCTTGGAGCGAGCGAAGGAAGCGCTTCCCTCGGCCCGTTGAGATAGGGACGCCCCACCTATCCCTCACCCCCCCCACACACACACACACACCCCAGCAGAGAGGTCGCGTGGGAGTGTTTGGTGGGGGCTGCACCTCCCCCCCCCGTGGGAAAGCCAGACCCGCCCCGCTCGCGCCTCCCCCCCCCCCGCTCTGGCGCTGAGCGGGGCATTCGAGTTAAGCAAGCACGTCTGAACCGAAGATCCCGAGAGTTTAAATCCCTTCCTAACAAAAGGGAGCTCCGAAAGGGTTTTCGCGATCTCGCCGGGTATAACCGGTGGAGGGGATCCGTGGGGGGGGGAAAAAAAAAAAAAAGGCTTCCACTTTTGCCTTAAGGGCAAACCGCCAGGGAGATGCCAGGGCGACAGAGATGTGAGGGAAGAAGCCCCGTTGGAAGGCAAAAACTCTTCCCGTGCTCCGGCCGGGCCCGTTTGCAATGCAAGGAAAACGTTATTGGAATGTGAACCGGGACAAATGTCTCTTATAAATAAAAGATCTTATTTGATGGACACTGAGTGCGTATGCGCCAAGACAAATTCCTTGTGTGTCCAATCACACTTGGCCAATCAAAAATTCTATTCTATTATGTCTGTGGAGATTCTCAGTCATCCAGGTGATGGTTGTCCCAAAGGTGTTTTCTTTTTTTTTCAAGAGGCAAGTTGGACTTTCTGGTCCAGAAAATCCAGTTGCCTCTTGAAAAAAGAAAAGAAAAAGCATCTTTGGGACATTCAAAGGGACAATCAATTCTAGGTTTTAGAGAGAAGACAATCGGCTGCGGAGTGTTTTTTTTTCCCCCTTCATCCGATGAGTAGCAGCCCGCTTAGAAGGAATGGAATTTCTAGATTCCCCCCCCCAAAATTCTTGGGCTCCCAGCCCCTTTTGTAATCCACGAGGAAAAAGGACAGATTGGCATCTAACGAACGCCCCGAAACGGAGGAGGAGGACAGATTGTAAGGAAGGGAAGTAGAATCTCAACCGAGTTACTTCGAAGTAGAGCCTGCGGACCTTGCGGGTTTTGCAAAGGTGTTTAGTTTCCAAGCCGGCTCCTGTCAATCACTTTTGCTGCTCTGGAGATTAGCACCGGTTGCTGCTCCTGGAGTTAAGCAACTTTGAGGACACACAGCCCCCCCCCCCCCCCTTTACACCTTCCTTCGCCTTCAACCTTCCTTTTTCTTGCACGGAGTTGTTCTGTTGCAAAGGAGCGTTGAGGAAGGCGCTTAAGGGTGGGGAGGACCTACAGTGGAAGAGCAGGGAGATGCTAACCTGTTCAATTTTTGGGAGACTTGGAGAAAGAAAGAGAAGTGAAAGTACGCCTACCTATTTTTTCTTGAGAGCCAGGTTTGTGTCAATGCCCTCTAGAGCAGGCTGATGGCATTGCCGCCTGGTAGATCTGGGATCATAACTTTTTAGACAAACGGATGGGAAGACTTCAGGCTGAGACAAATCGTCCTTCCGCTTTTAAAAACGGGCCTGTTAAAGTGCAACAAAGACACAAAACACAAAAATTAAAAGATATAGGTAGCCCTCAACTTACGACCACACAATTGAGCTCAAAATTTATGTTGTTAAGTGAGAAATCTGTTAAGTGAATTTTTGCCCCGTTTTACGACTTTTCTTGCCACGGTTCAGTGAATCGCTGCGGCTCTTCAGTTAGTACAACGGTTGTTAAGTGAATCTGATTTCCCCATTGTTTTTGTCAGAAGGTCGCGAAAGGGGACCACCGTCATACACACACACACACACACACACACATACCTGGACACTGCAACCGTCATAAATGTGAGTCAGCGGTCAAGCATCCAAATATAAATCACGTGACCATAGGGATGCTACAACAGTCGTAAGTGTGAAAAATGGTCATAAGTCCCTTTTTAAAGTGTCATCGTAACTTCGAACGGTCACTAAACAAACTGTTGTAAGTCAGGGACTACCTGCATTCTAACTCCGGAATGTTTTCCTCCCATATATTAAGGCACATTCTGATTTAACTTTTAAAATGTTTGTTAGTGGAACCAATTCATCAGACGGGTATTATTTTCTTTTTCATTGGATAGGTTGAAGCAAAGACTTGAGGTATTCAGTTTGAATACCTGAACAGAGCAAAGCATTGGGTTGAAATGCCTTTAAAGGCCCCCTTTTCACTTATTTGAATCCACTCTAAAAAATGTTCCCTTTAAGCATTTCTCCTTTACAAGTGGAAGTTGTTTGTGCTTTAATAATTGGACAATAACAAAAAAAACTGGAGGTTTGCAAGATAACTTTCTATCTTCTCTTGAGTATAAAGTATAAATTTAACTGCAAAACACAGGCCAGAGAAAATAGGCCAATGATTATTGATACTCATCCCCAAATATTAAGGGAGTATATCTGAATACAACACTGTCTGCCCTCTCCAATTCCTGTTGTGTAAAATGGCGTCAGAGAATGGTAAATTTAATGTGCCAGCTCACGGACCTGTGAATCATGCAAACCCAAAAGACTGGCTTGTATAAACCATGATTTGGTTTACCATAGGTGTACAGTGCAGTGTTGCTTATTTGTGTCCAGTTTCTAGGCTTCCCAGTTCCAAAAATTACTGGGTGGTTTCCCAAAGTGAAGTAACATAGAAGAATATTAACAATCTGAAGGAACAATATACAGGACATTTCCACCTCACAACTTGCCCAAAATATCCTAGAGAAAAAAAAGTTTATAAAAATTCATTTAACGCAGGCAAGGATGTGTGTGTGTGTGTGTGTGTTTATCTTGTATCCATCAGAGGTGGGATTCAGCAGGTTCTGACCAGTTCTGGAGAACCGGTAGCGGAAATTTTGAGTAATTCGGAGAACCGGTAAATACCACCTCTGACTGGCCCCAGAGTGGGGAAGGAATGAAGATTTTGCAGTATCCTTCCCCTGCCGAGCCCACCAAGCCACACCCACAGAACCGGTAGTAAAAAAATTTAAAACGCACCACTGGTATCCATGCATACATCCTTTGTTTCCACATGCCCACTTTTGAAACTTCAATCCAGAGCAAATTTCATGGAAGACAACTCTAACAAAGCCTGTCAGCTCCCACCCCCAACCTTTTGGGCACCAGGAACTGGTTCCGTGGAGAGAAGTTTTTCCGCAGACCGGCGGAGGGGGCATGGTTTAATTTGCTACCTACATCTCATGGATGGGGCTTTGCTTGTTTACATGGTCCAGTTTCTGGAATGCTGCAAACTGGTGCCGTTCCACAGACCGGAGGTTGGGGGCCAGCAGTATAACACAAAGGAAAAGTATAGACATATGTTACATTGTCTGGTTCCCTTTTACTCAGCAGTTCAGGAGAGGTGAAAGTGGAAAGTAAGTGGGTAGGGCAGATTATATCTTTCTTAGTTCATTTTGTGTTTATTGGATCATTTCAGAGGTGGTATTCAGCCGGTTTGGACCAGTTCACCCAAACCAGTATTGAAAATCGCGGGTGGGCCGGCTACCTGCCC